CTTCTGCTGCTGCTGCTGCTTCTTCTGCTTCTGCTTCTGCTTCCGCTCCTGCTCCTGCTCCTGCTCCTGCTCCCTGCTCCTGCTCCTGCTCCTGCTCCTGCTCCTGCTCCTGCTCCTGCTCCTGCTCCTGGTGCTGCTGCTGCTGGTGGTGCACTGCTGCTGCTACTAGTGCTATTACAACTGTTGCTAGCAGTATCACTTGTGTGCTGTATTGTTTTCTGTCGTCAGTCATGAGGATGATCATGATGATGATGGTTAGGGTGCCGACGGCGATGACGATGACAACGGCGACGACCATAATGCTGTGATTGATTCTGTTGATGATAGTGGTGCTGTTCTTGATGATGGTTTGCACGGGGCCCCCGCGAGGTGCGATTGCCGGTGCAAGGACGCAATTGCAAGTGTTCTTGCTACCACTAGCCCGCTCGAAATTTGCACATTGCCGCCTGTCTTCGGACCCTTCCTGCAACCATCGTGCTCCAACATACGGTTTGCAGTACCCCTACTGCTGGGCTCGGTGGCAGGACTGACCCTAAATCCCAAACCCTAAAGCCCTAGCAACCGTTAACCCAGGTTGTAGTTGTCTGATTCCCAGGGCGCACCTGTGCAGCTCCTACACGAAAATTCCAGAGTACGTGGGCGATGTGGCTCGGCAGCGGGTCTCGAGTGCAGCAAATACCACCCAGTAGTACCCGGAGGTTCATGTCTACATGTCTCTATATCTCTAATTCTATCTCTCTCTCTCTCTCTCTATCTCACACGCTAACTTTCTCTCAGTCTATCCATCTATCCATCGTCTCGACCTGGTCTCCGTCCACCAGAATCTTCACGCCCTCCCCAGGCGTCTCCCCCATGCGTCTCCCGAAAGGTTCGAGACATGTAAACTTCCAAACTTCCGGCCCCTGCACCTTGAGTCCTAAGTCCTGACCCTGATAACCGTGGCACAGTAGCGAGGTGCTGCTATCTTTCACAAAAAGAACATCCCCACACCGTGAATCCAGAGCCCCAAACTCTGAAGCCCTACACCTCCGAATCCTGCGAACACCCAGACCCGGAAACCCTCCGCAGCCCCCTTAAATGAATTCCTAAACCTTGTGCTACCTCAAGCAACAAACTCTTTAAACCCCTGAACCTGAGACCCCCAGAAGCCTCTAAACCTCCAAACCCGTGAATGAACAATCTCTTGAACCCTAATCCTCCGAAACACTTTGAGAAACGATAAACCCAAAGCCGAAAACCCGAAATGCTTTGAGGGTTTAGAATTTAGGGTTTAAAACCCTCTGCGCCGTCTCTGCATGCACCCTGAGGGCGGCGTGGGCTTCAGCGTGCGCTTGCTTTGCTCCGAGCCCTGGAGATGCTAAAGGCTTGGGTTTAGGGGTTTAGGGGTTTAGGGGTTTAGGGCTTTAGGGGTTTAGGGGTTTAGGGGTTTAGGGGTTTCGGGTTTAGGGGAAACCCCAAACCGAAAATTCAAATCGTTTTCTAGTGTCATAGACAGGCATCCGTCTGAGATAAACAGCTGAACCCCAACTCCTCAACCTGAGAACCGTATCTCCGACCCCGAACCCTGGACACTAGACTGCAAAGCCACACCCTAAACACTAAACCCCAAACACTAAACCCTAAACCCTAAACACTAAACTCTAAACCCTAAACTCTAAACCCTAAACGCTAAACTCAACGCATAGGCCGCCAACCTCCTGTGGTCGTTCGCGGCCAATAAGCCCCTCGCAACCGATCACGACATGCCGAGCAGTACGCGAGCCTGCCTCTCCACAGCCATGAGGACCGTACTTAAAGGATCCTGGGGCTTAGTAAGTAGGGTTATAATTAAGGTAACTATACTTATATATACTTATAACCCCAATTAAGGGACTTATAACCTTACTTACTAAGTCTCATGATCCTCCAAGTAGTACCCCATGCGGACCGTAGCACCCACGCCGGACCCGGTACTGGGACACATTCTCCCTGACCAGAAGTACACAGCAGACAGTGGCTGGCTTTATTCGGGGACCGCCCCAAAACGACCCCAGCAAGCAGAATTGACACCTGTGCCTGCCCCCGCTGCCCGCTGCCCGCTGCCCCCTGCCCTGCCCTGCCCTGCCCTGCCCTGCCCTGCCCTGCCCTGCTCTGCCCTGCCCTGCCCTGCCCTGCCCTGCTCTGCCCTGCCCTGCCCTGCCCTGCCCT